TGAGCTGATACGCATTCCTCTGGCACGTTCATGGCTGCCCTTTTCCCATCTCCAAGTCGCATACCCGTGGTAGGGAGAACACACACCGACGAGGGTACCCTAGAACCCAAAGCCTGGGTCCCAACTCCAAGCAACTCAGATGACATAATGTGACGAATCAAGTAAGGCGTACCATTGTGCATGTGTCCATGAATGTGGGCATCCACCACATCGGCTGAGAGCTATGAGCAGAGGAATGCGCCTGACCTGAGCTTCGTTGTTGTCTGTGTCTAGAGTGCGATCCGGCAATCTATCATCTGATCGGTGCAGGTGCAATGTCATGTTTGCTGGCGAGGACGGCACTCTCGCCTTTCTCTCAGTCACCGCCGACTCCCGTTGCGCCATTGCGATGTGAACGTCAATCGCTCATCTCATGCCCGCAAAGTGAAGGGCACACAGAGTGGGCGAAAACCACCGTAGGCACCACTTGTGCCTGAGAGACAGCAAGGATGAGCTCCTCTCGGCAACCAGCAAAGCACGCTGCCCACGCAAGAGTTGGTGGGCGACGGCCCACCTTGTCTCTCCATACAGCTTGACTCTGGGCAGTCCCGTCCCGAATTAGCATACACCGAGAGCAACGGTGAACTCAAGTCCGGTCATCGTCCATACACAGACCCAATTCCGTCGGAGCCCAAGGATGGGACAGAGATGGCCGTACCTATCAGATCGGCTTTCAAGCTGGGCCCGCGCTTCCGATGCCCGCACACACCGCAATCAGCCTCCGCGATGACTAACGTTCCTGCTCATAAGGGGAGCCTTAAGCCCTGCTCCGTTGGACACCATCTTCTTATACGTCTCCGCTGGAAGCATATATTCCTTCTCTCGATCGCTCACTCATTCTCTCTACTGTCTCACTCACCGCTGACCCCCAGCCGGCGCCATGACCATCTCCACCATTCTGCGGCCGTCGGTCCTCAAGACTGATCTCCTCGACGATGCCCTCGCCCGGATGTACAACAAGTACATCGAGCGGCGGCCGCACTTGAAGCCCGCCGAGTACGTCCTGTCGTACCCGCTGCCCGCCAAGCGACACGTGCTGCACCAGCTGCTCTGCATCGATCGCGACTTCCCATACGACGACGAGCTCATGAACTCTGTCGAGTCTTTCCTCGCGTTTGAGCAAACCCAGATCGCCCCGGAGAACTTTATCGACCCCGACGGAGAAGAGTACGAGGTGTTCCCCCATCCTGATCGCGACTGGCAGTCCGTCTCGGCGTGGAAGGGCAACATGCTCCACATCCAGGGGGACTACAAGTGGGCCATTGTTAATCCGGCGAACAGCGAGTTGATGGGCTGCTTCGTGCCCGAGCACCGGTGTCTAGACAACCAGATCCACACTGCCGCTGGACCAAGACTGAGGCAAGAGTGTCGGGAGGATATCAACAAGCGCCGTCGCAAGCGCCCACCACCCGAGGGCGTTCCGATCATCACGGGGGCGGGCCTCCTGCCGTTCGGCCACGTCATCCACGTCGCTGGACCGAGCTTGGAGCGGAGAAGACAGGCGACGGCGGAGGAGGAGGACAAGCTGCGAAACGCATACCGCAACAGCCTGACACTGGCACTCAAGGTGAGCTGAAACGCTTGATGCTTAAGCTGACGGCAGAACGATGTCCGAACAATCGTCTTCCCCTGCATCTCGACAGGGCTGTTCAACTTCCCTTCGCAGCAGGCAGCCAAAGTCGCCACGCGGACCGTCGCAGAGTGGTTTGACGAGTTCAAAAAGTCTCCCATGCGCGTGATCTTCATGCTCTGGACGGAGCACGACATTGCCTGCTATCAAGCGGCCATGGCCAAGACCTTCCCGAACAATCCAGAGTTCAAGGTGCGCATTTGCGACCTTGTCCCGGATCCGTCGATCTTTGACAATGTCGGAGGACTCATCATCCATGCTGGCGCGGGACTCAGTGCCGACGCAGTCAATGCCGAGTATGGCCTGGGGCTCGACTACACCTCGCGAGATCTGTTCTACAAGCTCTATCCGGGCATTGTGAAGAGCACGCCGCTACGATCACTCTACGAGACGATAGGGTATGAGTGGGACGACGTAAGTTACATGGAATGCAGCGAAGCTGACCTACAGCCGCTGCAGCAATGGGGCTGGATCTTTGCGCACGCGCACCGCGTGCTGAACTGGGGCCAAACATCAGTGTACTCTGACCTCAAACGCCTCGTATCAACCCTAGACGTGCCGTATACGATCATGACGTCGAATGCGGACCAGCTATTCGCTCAATCCGGCTTCGACCCCGAACGCATCTTCACGCCGCAAGGCTGTTATGCGCGGTTCCAATGCCTTGCTGCCTGTACACCGGATTCCTTCTTCGACTCAAAGCCGTGGATCGAGCGTGCCCTGCCCCACCTCGACCTACTTGACCCGCGCATTCCAACCGATAAGCCCGAGCTCATCCCGAGCTGCGAGAAGTGTGGTGGCGCCGTCTTTCTAAATGTACGCGGCGGGGACTGGTTCCTCGAGACGGCCTATGTGGGTGCTGAGCAGCGGTACAAATCCCAGGTCGAGGAGATGTTCCGCACCGCCGAGGCGCAGAACAAGAGGGTCCTCGTGCTCGAGCTGGGGAGCGGGTTCAACACGCCCTCTGTGATCCGATATCCGAGCGAGATGCTGGCAGAAAATGCGGATCTGGTTCGGGTCAATCTGCAGCATCCCGAGATCCACTCCCAGGTCGAGGGGAGGGGGTACAAGATGGGCGCGGGGGAGTTTTTGGCTGCGTGTGTGGGTGGGCTGCAGGGGCGGAAGCGGGAAGCGGCGTAGATGTGGCATGCATGCCATCTTGCAGACATAGGTCGTAATGCGAGTGCGGTGAGCGATTGCACGGAGAGATGATGCAAGTCCTGTACGATCGGGCTCGTATTTAAGGTCTGCACGGCTCGCCTAAGTAGTTGGCAGGATGAAACGAAGGTTAGGAAGGGACCTGAGCCCCCCCTTGATCTGGTCCAACCACTCTCGCCTGCAGCGCTGCAGCGAAGAGGATGGTGGGATCGTGTGAGCGTTTGTTGCGACGGGCGCCACTGCGCGTCAACACGTCAGCGGCTGGCCGGCTGGCTGTTAGTGTGAGCGTACGCACGTACGCACGTCCCACGCTGACAGAATATGAGAGACATGGGTTCCCAGGGTTCGCATCACTAGCTTAAGGCTGTTGCAACTACGTCAGATTTCATTTACTATTTACGCTACCTCTGACTTACTACCGCCGTTGCGTTGTAGCCGTGGGATGCAAAAGGGGATGATAAAGAGTGTGTACAGCGGAGTAGTGTGCATGCATTGTGGAGGATGTGTAGATGTGCTATGCAGGGATCACATGCATGCGCCTGGACATGAGAGAGATGAGATGACGAGAGCGACGGCCCTGCTCGCCCTGACACGCGGTCCTGGCCGTCCTGGGCGGTTGTTTGTGCCTGACCTCATCACACTCTCACCGCACGCCGCCGAGCGTCTCGGCGAGCTGCGGCGAGCTGGCGAGATTGCACCCTCATCTCCACCAACTCTCCCTCATATCCACATCTTTATCCTCCCGCACGTCGATTAGACTACCACGCGCACAGGACACAGTCGAGCCCCGACCACCCACCTAACCACCCCTCCCCGCCCGACCTCCATCCCTCCCCGGTTCGAGATGCATATGGT